AAAATAATCCTCAAGTATTTAATAGCTTCTGAATAATATAGAAAACCTAATTTGTTTCTTTTATTCTTTTGAACCTTCTTGTATACAGAGCAGAATATTTACCATATAATTGTATTAATGTGGTGAGATTGTTGACAGAGATTAAAAAGCAACAATATAACTTCTGTATAATAAATTTTGTATTAAAAGCCTGCTAAATACATTCCTTTGATTTTACAAGTTTTTCTTACTAGAGCATTTCTTGCTAAGCATTGCAGAGTTTTCAATACCAAATTAAAAATTAAAGCTAATAAGAAACATCTTTGACAAGTTTTGTGTTGCATTTTAATAACTAGCAAAAATATATTACAAAACAACTAGAAAACTAAAATAATAAATTATAATCCAAGTAAATTTTATGGGAACTGTAAAGTTCTGCAACCAATGAATCAAAAACATTGTTTGAACCACATCAAAAGCTTATTCTGCATCCATTAATGCCAACGCTATGGATTCATGTGCATCAGCAGACATCAGCTGAGTGTATGGAATGCTATTGTATCCACAAGTCTTATATTACTGAAGGTTGATGCTCTTTTATGAAAACAGATTGTGGAGAACAAATTATTGTAGGTAATGTCGTCCAGCCAATGCAGCTTTAAGAACCTTGGCTCCAGTATTTGATAAAGATACGAGGCAATAATTGTACCCTGGGTAGGAATCTTACCAGAAATTATTGTTAATAGAGACTTCAAAGTGTGGCAAGATGTCTGAAATATCTTCAAAAATATAGGAGCTACTTTCTCCTTAATTTTTTATACCATTCTGTAGTTGTTCTATGTGATGTAGGAAACTTTCTAAATTTCATTCTATTGACAGAATCAAAGATTTTCTGTAAGATTAATGGTGCAGTTTGCCTGAGTATATGTCCAAATTTTTTAAAAAAGAATTTATCTGCTTACTTCCTATATCTACGTACATCTATAGAATCTACATTTCTATAGAAATAAAAATGTAGATTAATTTTGGACTTTGTTCCTGAGATTTTTTTAACTTTATCATACATCTTTCAAACAAGACGCCAAAATTTCTGAGAATTTTCTGTCTGTTTAATAAAGGCTTTAACAAAGCTGGGGAGTGAAACTTCAAGTGAGAGAGTATGTATTCCCTCTGCAAGATGGAAATTTTGGCTGATACCCCAATTCAAATGGGAGATAACACAAAACATTATGCTTACTTCAGATATTTCATCTGATGTGATTCTTCATTAAATTTATTTTTTTTTAAATTGACTGAATCAGCATTTTTAGGTTTTTGCTGATAAACTTGAAACCATCAGGAGGAGATTGAGTGAGATCCAAAAGCAGTTAAATAACCAAAGTACAAAAACAGAACAAAAAAACCTAAAAGCAAACAAGAAATTAATTCCAGCATTCCAATACTTGAAATATACTGGTAGCTTGAAGGTGTCTTGTCAAGAAGCTTGGAACATATCCAAGATCAAGAAAACAGGGAGAAAATGGTTTACTCAGATTCTCTTATGTACAACACAACAAACCTTTACCAGAAGCTTTCAAAAATATTTTTAGACTTGCTTCAGATGTTGCTGCAGCTATGAAGGTAGTATTAGATATAATTCTTCACAATCCATTGATCCTGTTGTTTAACTTTTTTCACAAAGTTTATTGAGGCAATATACTGCAAGCAGCTAGAATGGCAACATATTTGGACTATGAGGCAAAGAAACAAGCTATTTCCAGATTTATCTTTCACAAAGATACAGAAGTATAGAGAATTCCACTAAGATCCTCAAATGGCCAGACCACAAGGGATAAAAGCATTATTTTTATTTCTAACAGTATTTAGCTTATGGATACAAACTGGGAAGGGGAAATCTAATGAATCAAAATGGCTGTTAATTATCTTAAACAACAGATGGCTGTGATGTAGAAGTGCCACAATAGCTCAATTAGAAATGATTCAGTGGCATGGAGGATTAGTTATCTTTTTAATTCCTCTTTCCTATTCTGGACTCTTATTATAGGTCTTCTAGAAGTTATTCATTGCCAACAGGATTTTTGTTGTTGTTTTCAGCAATAATGAATCATATAAAATGGAAGAATGTTTAGTTTTTTAAAAACAGTGGTTACTTACTGTATATTTTGGACATGGATTCTAGCCTGGTTGCTACTCCAAAATAATATGACATCAACTCAACTGATTTAAATAAACCAACAACACCTGAATAGGTTTCAAAATATGACAAAGGAATGACAACTTTAGTGAAAATGTCTTCTAACTTGGAAGATTTTTACAATGGATTTTTAGATTTTAAAGGTTACCACAGAATTATTGTCACCTATGGAAATCACATTAGATGGAAAATGCTTATAGCTCAGCCAAAGATAAATACTTTACATTGTTTTTGCTTATTTGGGTGTGTATGTGTGATAAAAATAGGTTGGATAATAATTTCTGAAGACTTTCATTTACTATTGAAGAAATTATTAGATGGAATAAGATTTCTAAAAAGAAAATGTATCATCAAAGTTGCAATGCTGTCTTTATTACAATCAGCAGTATAATTAATGGATGTAGGTGATTGCTTAATCCCAACATACAATATTTTTTTAATCTCCATGGCAGTTATTCAAGATGGGATACTTGTTTAATATCTCACTTGAGAAATGTAGAACAGTATCAATCCAATTTTGATTTCTTATCATGACCTATATTAATGTAATTGAATTTGGGGGAAATTTTATTGGTGGGAAATGGTATTTTAATGCTTTTTTGCTGGAAGATTTGGGTTTGTAAACTAATAAGAGAAACAACATATAAATATGTTTTTTCAAACAAATAAAATTTAATCTACCGGGGACAATTTCAGGTATATTTAAATCATTCATTTGTGATAAGATAATACTGTACCTGATGTGTCTGGTGGAAAAAGATGCATGGATTACAATTTAGAAATTTTGAATTAGGAATAAAAGAAATACTGAAACAATATTTCATAAAACAGACTCAGGCTAGTACATAACATTTTTAGATTTGCTAAACAGAAATCAGATCACCTATATGCCATGGTCCCAGATTTTTTTTAAACATTAATGAATTTTTAACGATTTGTCCATTTCTATGGATACATCTATCAATTAATAACAAGGGCAATCTGGATAATTCTTTGCAATTTTTCGTGTATCTTTTAAAGACCTTTACCACACATTCTGATATTTCACACAATTGGATCATTGGATATGATTATCACTTTTGTGATTTCATGATTTTAAAGTTTGGAATCCCTCAAAGGATCTGACTGAGTATCTTTGTGTGAGTGTGGTATACATACACACATGCACATTTGGGAGTTTCAATAAGCATGGGGTTGATAAATATACATCAATATGATAAATCTTCAGAGTCAGTTAAACTTACAATACAATGGAAACTAATTGAATAGAAAAATACAGATGGTGAGAGTCAGGAAGAGATAACATTAAGGAAGTAAGATAAACCATATAGGCAAAAATGGTTGGGTCTGAGAAAGGAAGAAGAGAAGCTATAAAAATATATAGGAAATGGCTAGCCAGGAAGGACAGGTTGAATGGGAAAAAAGGAAACTATGCCAAATAAGATGAGAGGCACACTGAATTGAAAAGCAGGAAAAGAACTTATTGTTTAAAATGGGGACATAAATATCTACTGAGTTTAAAATAACCATTTACATGTCTAATTTTTCTTATTCTTATTGTATATGTGAATATGATTTAGTATGTTATCAGGAAATGTGTATAGGCGGACGGAAAGATTGTAACCTCATACTACCTCAGCCAATGGGGAAAGAGGAGGGCTGTAGCAGCTGGTGATAGGGATGAATAAAAGAAGATATTTTGGGTTAAAACTTTGGAGAGAACCAAGCTTTGATAGCTTCTCTCCCTGCTTATTGCAATAAACGAAACAAAAGGCCTTCACTGTGTCTTGGTTATTGGTCAGGCAAGCTTGCCTCTGGTCACAAAGGAAAGTAGCCAGGAGCACATAACAGGGTGGTTGTTATCAATTTGATAACTTTTTACATCCTGGGACTCTTTTTTTTTAAGTTTTTTATCACACTTAGATAGCTCTTCTAATACACAGTGACCTCCTCAAAATGAATTCCTAGTTGTTTAATGGGCTCTTTTCCTCCACCAGTATGAAAAATATGGCTGTAACAAATTTAAATAAATACATAAATGAAAATGATAGGATTGTAATTTTAGTTGTCAGTGTTAGAAGTAAAGCATCCTGGTTCATCCAAGCCGGGAATAAATAAGCAAACATGGCAACTGCTTTGGGAAGAAGGTTACAGTTTATTGCAGAAAGATGGTTCTTCAGGAAAGTGCAGAGGAGAGAGAAGGGCTGAGCACATGGGGCAGTAGGCTTTTATACCCCCTCTAGCCTTGTTTGGAATAGTTTCCTGTTCCTGTGGCATGAACTTTGAGGCTGTGTTTGTCTAGGCCTTGATATCTGTGGTTTAATTCTATTATCATATCCTGCTTCCCAAGGGATGGGGCTGACTCCTAGAGTTTGGGTGGGGTATACAGATCTTCTGCTTTGTCTTCTTGATTGCTCTGGCTTCAACTTTCTGATGGTTTTACATCTGCATTTGTATGGGGCTAAAGTCTTGCTTGGGCCAGAGAGATAGATTTGGGGCCAGGTTTGGTTTTAAAAACTCCTTTTGAGGAAAAATATATTTTTCTGCCTTTTTAATATTTCCTTCTCTGGGTTAACTTCCCTCATCAGGCAAACATATCTATGTGGTATAAAAATTTAGGATTAAATTGGTGGCTTTCTATATTTCTTTGGTGAACTTGCTCAAGTATATGACATTTGTATCCTGCCTTTTCATGAACAAATTCAGATAGATTTTGATGTTTCGGTTTTTACATTAAACTCGAATTTAAAAAAAACACATTTCCTTTTCTTCAGCCTTTATTACCCATCCTTTGTTTGTAATAAAGATTATCCAATATGCTTTTTAGGTACTAACATGGCTTCTTTATGCCTTCTTACACAAAAACCTATTCCCTACATCCTGCATAACTAACCACAAGAAGCAGAAATAGAGCCCCTGTCTTCTTTCCACGAGTGAACTAACTTATGAACTCCGGCCCTTCTGCTTTTTTTCTTTTAATTTGGGAGAGAAACCTGGATTTTACCAAGCCCCTCCCTGCTTCTCTCTTGCAGTCAAAACGAAGAAAGACGAGGCGAGGGCGTCGAATTTCACTTCCTGTCACCTGGCAGGAGTCCTTTGTCTGTTCTTGAATGCTATTTAAAGGCGGGACGGAGCAGCCAGCAGCGGACAGTGAATTAAAGAGTTAACTGGAGATTTCCTCGGAAAGGGCGCCACCCTCTCTGACGGTAGAGTAGCCTATGAGTCAGTTTCACCTGAAACTCTTCAGGTAAGTAAAGGAAGCAAAACGAAGAAAAGAGGAAAAGGAACTGGAGCCAAGATCCGGAAAGAAAGAGGGCCCAAGGCTCAAAGCGAGAGAGCCCGCTCGGCTACATCGCAGGGGCTGCCCCAAGAGCTTCGGGTTCAGGAGACTGGTTTTCCAGCCGCCGACCGTCTGCAAGAGAGGCGAGGGGTGCCTACCGGACGCGGGGCGTGGGGTGGGCAGAGAAAGGCTTCGGGGCGGCCGATCTCGCCCTGAAGAAGAAGAAGGCAACTTGGGAGAGTCATTTCTCGCAGAAGGGCTCGAGTTCCAGGGACCCCACTGGAGAAAAGGACGTTCGGAGGAGAGGCGGAGGTGAATGCTCCTGCTCGTCCGGAGCCTTTTCTCGCGTCTCTGCTCGGTGTTCGGGGGCGGATCTGCCTTTGAAAAGCCGTCGGCCCGGAGAACTGCGCTGGTTTCGCTCGTTTGGGCGGAGATGGGCCGAAGTAGGAGCCGGCTACAGGCCGGACTCCTGGTGACCTTGGTTTTTTTAGCCGGCCTGGTTCTCGGTCAGGAACAAAATGGGGACGGAACCTCGTTTGGAGAAATGTGTCTTGCCCAATTTACGGCCGGGTTTCCGGAGTTTGTGCTGGACACGAATGCCTCGGTGGAGAACGGCGCGACTTTCCTGGCTTCGCCGCCGGCGGAAAGCAGCCGCGATTGCGTCCGCGCCTGTTGCAAGAACCCGAGTTGCAACTTGGCCCTGGTGGAGCAGAGCCCCGCAGACGATTCCGACGTCATTCAGAGCTGTTTCCTCCTCAACTGCCTTTACGACCAGGCTTTGGTCTGCAGGTTTGCCAAGAAGGACGGCTTCCTGAACTATGTCAGACGGGAGGTTTACAACGCTTACGCGACCATGCGCAACCGAGGCAACAGCGGTAAGGAGACCAGGGCCTGCTTCTCAGCCAAGGGTGCCCAACCGGGGTTGGAACCGAGAGAAGCTCCAGTCTTCCCTCTCAGTCCTGCAGTTGTGCCCAGTTGGTTTGGTTTGACGTGGCCTGTCGTGGGAACCTGCTGGCTCTGGCAGCTTCTGGCTTATGACAGCAGGCGGTCTCAAGATATTAAGCCCCAAGTCACCTGTCAATCTTAGTGGCTCTGAGCACCACTGCTGACCATGATTGCTGAAAAATGTTAGGGTAGTTTCACACAATTTTCATTTGGAAACATGAAAACAAAAGTATAAGACAAGACCATAAGCATTTTTCAGTTAAAAAAAATAAATACTTGCCCTGATCAGTATCTTCAACAAACAATGTCAAAATGACAACAGCTGGGTCATAACATCATTGAGAAAAGGATGCAATTTAATACTTGCCTCTGAACATCAGACACATCAGATGTAAGTTGCATCCTTTCTGTCAAGATTGGTACATCATTATAGGCCATGTTATAGATTCCCATGGCTAGAGTTTTGTCCTCAAATCATGCTCCAGTCACATGTGTGAATAAACTGAACTGGTCTTTAGGCTCCCCAAACTATAGGCATATCTTGGGTATTTGCCATAATGTGGTGGACATCAGCTAACACTTGTCTTGATGACAGAATAATTGAAACAAACCTTGGCATAGTGTGCCCCCCCCCAATCCCACAGTTCCCAAACTATGCACAAGGACATCACAGTGAACTCACAGGGGAGGTCGCAGGATATTTTACTATATAATAAATGGAACTGTTAGTGAGTTTGCTGCAGTGTTCTGGGTGCCATGACACATAGTTTGGGAACTGCAAGGGATGCCATGAACCAAGCAAATTCAGGAACCTCTATCCCAGCCATTGGTATGGTACATGGCAGTAAAAGGTTACTAACCACACTGTAGCCTTGGCATGACTACTTCATTGTGTGGTACTAAGGCCACAACAGTGCAGAAGTGAGGGCATTATTGAAACAGTGTAATGCAAACCAGAAAAAGCATTAAATAAGTAAACTATGGTACAGTTAAATATATTTTGTGAGCATGGTGTCTAAAATGGTGTTAGATGCAATTAAATGATAAGATTATCAATGGCTGTAAGTAATGAGAGTTTCTTTCTATCTCTAGAGTACATCACAGGATACTTCTGATACCAGTTGTTGGGTGACCTGAATAGCAAAATGCCTTGCTCCAGTTTTACTTATGGGTTTTTCATTGGCTGTCATAAATGGATGGTCTTTTAATCGCAACGTAGAGTGATAGATTGCAGTGGTTGTAATGAAATATCTGTGGAGATTCTCACTCATCCAGGTGGTGGTTGTCCCAAAGCTGGTTTTTCAAAAGGCAACTGGACTTTCAAACAAAACCAAACAAACCCCAAAGTCCAGTTGCCTTTTGAAAAACTACCTTTAGAATTGTAATTAAATGCTTTCTAAGTCTTTAAAAAGACAATGAAGTAATAGGTTGATATGACACTGTGAATTAAACCTAGTGAGTAATCCAATTCTTGTGTGACAGGTACTAGGGGCAAATTTTGGGGAATATTATTTCCTGTTGGATTTTGATCATGAACATTAAACACCTCTCTTAGATTCTGTTGGAAGCAGAATAATGAACCTGATGGACTTTGGTCTAATGAAGAAAGGAAATTATTGTCAGAAATTGATTTGAGTGGGGAGGTACGCGCAGCATCATTTGTAGGTTAGCACTGAATCTCTTCTCCCTGGAAAAGGGCAGTAGTGCAACAATTCCCAAGTTTGTTTCATTTAGGATACAAAGTATTGATTTCTATTCGTAGATGTCATCTGCAGGGTGAAAATTGGATTTCTGAAAAGTTGTAGAACATCTGGAGAATACCAACTTGTAGAAAACTGGTAAAAATACTTTATAAATCCCCATTTGTGTATCTGCAGAGAAGGGTGAACAATATCAAAATGGTGGGCAATTGAAGTCTTAGCCATGTTTCTGTGTGCAATGCATAAGACATATGTTAAAACGAGGTGGGTCTTCGATCTCCCAGTTATACCTGCTATTTTGATGTCATTTACCATCCCAATACCCCTGTGGCTCTGTTTGACTTGAAGACATGGGACCTGCATGGAAGGAATATACCACAGTACAGAACAAAATTATTATGTTGGCAAATGGTTCTAAACAGAGCCATATGGTGTAGTGGTTAAGGTGTTGGCCTAGAACCCAGGAGATTGTGAATTCTAGGCTTCCTGAGTGATGAAAGCCGGCTGATTGATTTTGGACCAGACACTCTCAGACTAACCCAACTTATAGAGTTGTTGTAGGAAAAATAGAAATAGGTATAATCACTGACATTTTGGTCTCTTTTGGTTGTTCTTTAGTCCGTTTCATAAGTGATACAGTTTGTGTGCATAATTAATACCATTATATAATAAATGTGCATACCTGCATCAGATTACATTTGTTCTCATGCATGCTTTTGAATAATTGCTGATCTTGTAAATGTTCTTAAAATCTGTCACAAAGCTAATTCAATGCTGGTCATTCAGTCAAATCAAGTTGAACTTCTTGTACTGAGGCCAGTAGGAGAATGCTATGGGTCAGGGGTCTTCAAACTTGGTCCTTTTATGACTTGTGGACTTCAACTCCCAGAATTCCTCAGCCAGCATGCCTGGCTGAGGAATTCTGGGAGTTGAAGTCCACAAGTCATAAAAGGGCCAAGTTTGAAGACCCCTGCTGTGGGTGATCAGACATAGGAAAATATCTTTGCACATCACAAATAATGCATCTGATTGTAGCCATGTTATAGAAATAGATGATAGTATACTTCTGTTAATTTTGATCTAAGATCCACTTAATGCTTGTGATAGCTTTGTATTATTTCATTTTTTTTAAAAAAGAGAGCACTCCAGCAGCTAATTGCTGAGTGAGCATATTCTCCCTACAAAACGGCATAATCAAACTATCATAACAAGTGATACTTGACCTAGATCAATACTGTAGCCCTCCAGAATTACTGAGGGCTGCTTCATCACCCAGATTAGATGAGGGTTGCTGTAAATCAATGTTTCCCAAACTTGACAATTTTAAGGCATGTGGACTTCAACTCCCAGAATTCCACAGCCAGCGTTGTGGAATTCTGGGAGTTGAAGTCCTCATGCCTTAAAATTGTCAAGTTTGGGAAACACTGCTGTAAATTATGGTTCTTCAACAATTCTGTACTAAGCACTAAATTACTAGATCTGGTAAAATTGAAATTACATTTATTTTCTGAATATTAAGTCTTTCTGAAAATGGTAGCACTTTTGAGGAAGATCCATCAAACTTTTATTTTCTTCACATTTAAATGTGTGCATTTTAATGTAAGTTTTCACCTTTTAATACCATAAATTAGCTACCATATTTGAACATTTCTATAGGATTAAAGAACCTGAAATACAAATACAATTTCTACGTACAACACAAATGTAAAGAACAGAGTTTGGTAATTGTTAAATCATATAAACTAACCATTGAGTGCCACGATAATAGTGTTAACGGTGTTTGTTATGTTCCGTCAACAAAATTTCCATAAAATCTCCATCACTACTTAGTCAACCTTAAAATTAAGATTCAGATGTACTTTCTCCTATTGTAAATAATTTCATTATTACCTACCTGTAAATAAGCTTCTCTGGTTTTATTATCATATTATAACTAGCCAGACAATTATTTTTTAAACATTTTTGGTTTTCTATACTTTAGCCCAAGAATGATGTGCTTTTAGATAATTGTCTTTACACTTTTCTCTGTAACCAAATCAATTTAATATCTAATTTATAAGTGGGGAAGGCCTGTCCAATTAGGTAAGAAAGGTGCTTGGGTAAAGAACTATGATACATATGACTTTCCTTTGTTTTAAGGTAATGTTCTTTCGTATAAATCTGTCTACATATAGAAAGATCATACATAATGTGAAGTATGGTCCCCAGTTTGGTGACACCTAGAGGAAATAATGCTATTCCTAGGGAGATCTGATCGATGCCTGCTTCTCATTTTTGATCAGTTTCTAGGCAGATAAATAAAAGTCCCATGGATTTATGTCTGCAGTTTTCAGTTTGTTGATCTTTCCTGTTCTGTATTTAGTTTTAATTTTACAGCTACAGGGATGGAATGGCAGAAGAATGAAAGATGAATCAGTCATATTTGAGAAGGCAAGGCAGTGCATTTGGATTGTAGCCACAGAATACATGAATTCTTTAGCTCTGACATATGGTGAACTGGGTCAGGAGGTGGGGAATAATGTAGAAAGTAGGAGGTTTGTTTGAACAGGATAAATGAGAGCATCATGAATTCATTTGTTAGAGACAGTGTTAACAAAACCTCTGAGCAATAAGATGATTTCATTTACCTGTTAGAGATTTTTGGCACTATTTTTTTTCCTGATTTTCCTGGAGCTTTTAGAGACATCTGATCTGGTACAGGTTCTAAAATACAGGTGTTAATCACATTCACACAACTGATACCAAATTGTATTCAGGTAGTTGTCTTGGGATTGCTTAGGATAAGTTGGGGACAAATTTGTGTTCTTTTGAGTTATAGCTTTTTCTAACAATCATAGCTACAGTATTTGAGAATATAAATAATCCCGATTTAGTGACCACAATTGGGATGGGCAGGAGGTGAAATTGTTAGTTTTTTTTAATCTCCTGTCTGCAAATTATTAAAGTCTATGTGTCAACAATCCCACTCCGTCATCTAGCAAAGAAAGATTTCTGGCCATTTATTTTTGCCAAGTGTATACCTTGCTGGTTACAGAAGTAGCATAAGCTGAATCTGAGGTTTTCCAGTGCAATCAGTACAATACAAAGCAACTTTTCCTCTCCCCCTCCCCCCTCCCCACCCTCCATCCCCTAGTTATCTGTAAATGTTCAGTTAGGTGCTTGTATATTGTTTAGGAAACAGATTCTTGGTTCCTAGCTCTGCATATTGATAGTTGACCTTGGCTGGCTGA